CTGGGGGTCTGAGATCAGGGTACCAGCATGGATGAGTTCTGGTGAGAGCTCTCTTCCTGGCTTATAGATGGCTGCCTGCTTGCTGTATCCTCTCATGGTGGAGAGAGAGCTACAGTAGTCTTGGTAGCTCATGTTTATAGGCTAAGATAATTATGAACTTTTCCAAGATCCTGTAGTTTGAAATTTTCTACACATTTGTTATGAATTGACAGGTAAGCTTGGAATCTCAAGAAGACATAAAACCTGAAGTTGTAGCCTAAAAAAAATTCATTTAGAATTTTTAAAGAAAAGTTTAGTGACCAATATTAATTTGGAAGGCTGATAGAACTTCAAAATGTTTTAGAACTATGCATAGTAGAAATAATCATCTAAAATACAAAACAATGCAAAAGATGTGTGAATAGTTGAAATAATTAGATAAAAACTCCAAACAAAACTCAAACTTTAATGGTGCCTCCTAGCAATTAAATTTAATTCAGAACCACTGCCTAATATCATTGGGTATAAAGTCTCACAACTTTATGAGTCCAATGTAATATTCAAACTGGTTCAAATTGCTGATGTAAATGTATGCATGCCTTGTCCTTTACAACCTAAGCAGGAAATATAGTTAAATGTTAATGGATATGCAAATCAGTAAACTAATAATTGAAAAAAGTTTGACAGGTCTGCATATTTGTAATTCTTTACATTTTTCCAAATCAGCAAAAATAAGATTAACTACTAACTTTTATATGTCCCTCGTCACTTTTAAATATATTAGTTATTTCATAAATTCCCTGTGCTGTCTCATCTGCGTTGTTATCATAGCATCCAGTTCTCACCACCTGCCCACAGCCACAGGGGAAGGGCCTATCTTTGATTTGTGCTGATACGTCATTGTAGATGATCATGGGACAGCTATCCTGCAGTCAAGGAGATATAAATGTCAGTGGAGAAATAAAGTGAACACGCAAAATAGTTTAAAAACATGTTTAATGTCTTCCTCTGTGGAAGCGTCCTTCATGACTTAATCTCATTTTATTCTGCTTCTAGGGTTTACTATGCATAGGTCTACCCATGCCATATAGAAATAAATGTGAAGAATTGGGGTCATTTCATTAATTCATACATTATGCAAATGTTGATCACTTTCTATATGCAGACATAGCTCTAGGTCAGTGGTTCTCAACCTTCCTAATGCCGCGACCCTTTAATACAGTTCCTCATGTTGTGGTGACCCCCAACCATAAAATTATTTTCATTGCTACTTCATAACTGTAATTTTGCTACTGTTATAAATCATAATGTAAATATCTGATATGCAGGATGTATTTTCATTGTTACAGATTGAACATAATTAAAGCATAGTGATTAATCACAAAAACAATATGTAATTATATATGTGTTTTCTGATGGTCTTAGGCGACCCCTGTGAGAGGGTCGTTCGACCCCCGAAGGGGTCGCGACCCACAGGTTGAGAACCACTGCTCTAGGTGCTAGCAAACCAACAGTGAAAAGAAGAACCAAAATAACTTCCTGTCCTTCTGTAGCTTATTGTCTAGATATTGTTTCCTCTCTTGGTTTTCAGTGGTATCGTCTTATTTCTTGACATCTTAGTAATGTTTGAATGAATGTTGGATGTTATATAAAAATATATAAAGAGGATCTAAGTAATACTTTATTCTTTCAGAAAAGATTCACTCCTTCCTCTGTTAAGTAGAAGGACTAGAGCCTGGTCACCTTAATCCAGGCATTGAATGGACTGGCAAGGACTGATTCCCAGTTTCGTCAAGGACCATCTGTAGTTCTCTCCTGCCCTCCATGGCTCTGTGTATTCTCCTGGGCCATTCCATCTGGCAGGTTCTGAACGATAGCAATCTCTTCAGCATGGGGAACTTGCCAGACCTCCGCTATGCTCTTCAGGGTCTTTCCGCTGAGTGTCTAGCTTACCCCTGAACAAATTCATAATTTAGGAAAAGTCTCGAAATAAAAACCAGGTGTGTATCATGCTCCTTTCCGGGCCCGTACTTTCTCAGGAGGATCTTGGCTCCTTAAGTTTCTCATGTCTCTCCAATCCACTGAGGCTGCCCTCTGTCCAGGCGAAGTCCGGAATCAGCAAATGTCCCCTCAGGAAATACAGCTCACTTTTTCATGATTCTTTTCAATCTGGTATCTCGGTTTTTCTAATCCTCATTACTTCGTCAGCTCTCGTATGTCTTTAAGCAGAGTTTGGGGGTAATTTTATTTAGTTTTCTTAGGTGTTTTTTTTTGGGGGGGGCTGGATCACTGATATGTTGCAAGTTTATCTCATTTTTATTTTTAGATACTGAATAAAAAAATACCTTCTTTTATACACATCTACTCAACCACAATGAATGTGCCCTGACATTTCTACCCTAGCCCATTGCATTCTAGAACTAATTGGCAAAGTAGACAAGTAGGGGTGTGGCATTGAGCATATTCTTCTAAATAGGTGTCTTCAGAAGAGCTGGACAGTTCCCAGAGCTAATACTCCCGAGTACACTGAGTTCGCTGCCCCAGGACTGTCAGCAGCAGTGGTACTGACGGGAGTAACACCAAACTCTCCAAGTTAACGTGGGGGCTTTCACGTAGAGGCTGCTTGATTAGGGAACTCAGTGGGAGTCCGAGACTTGGTGGTAGCTCTGGGGAGGTGCAGCTTCTGGATGCTCTTCTGACTTTTTATCAATTGTTCTCAAAGGAAATAAGTCATGCCTGCTAAAATACTGGTAAACAGAGCAGTTATCCTTTGTGGTTCTTATTTTTATTTTTATCTCTCCCTAGCACTTGTAGGAAAAAGGTATAGCATAGTGGTTAAGTGCCTAGATTTGGAAGTCAGTCAAATTTAGATTCAAAAACTTGTCTATTTACTAAATACTTGTCCTTGAAAAAGTTGCAAAAACTCTCTAAAGCAGTGGTTCTCAACCTTCTGGCCCTTTAAATACAGTTCCTCATGTTGTGACCCAACCATAAAATTATTTTCATTGCTACTTCATAACTGTAATGTTGCTACTGTTATGAATCGTAATGTAAATATCTGATATGCAGGATGGTCTTAGGCGACCACTGTGAAAGGGTCATTCAACCACCAAAAAGGGTTGCAACCCACAGGTTGAGAACCGCTGCTCTAAAGCCTCAATTCCATGTCAATGAAACAAGAATAATAATACATGTCATTGTGCTGACATGTGGAGACACAGTATTTAAAGTGCTAATAATAATCTCTGGCATATTGGAAGTGTGCACTTTATGGCAGCGATACATTTTTTGGCTTCTATGGAAAGCCATGGAGTTAGACATGCAGAATTTTGGGGTGAGACCTTAAGAGATTTATGCAGACCCTCCAAGGTAGGTGAATGAAGCATATCGAAAGAGAGTTGTTTTTTAGAGTTCATAAGTTTGCTTTTGTTATTAAATAAAATTATTTCATTATCTGTTTATTTTATGGATTACAAAAACTATCCGAAATAATCCCAGAAAATAAGTGACTGACCTGGAGATGGCTTGCCTATCAAGGATTAAAAATATGTATTTCTTCATACTTTTAGTAGATAAATGACAAACATATCATTCTTTACTATGTGTTGTTTTAAAGTTAATCTAAGACAGTGGTTCTCAACCTGTGGGTCGCAACCCTTTCACAGGGGTTGCCTAAGACCATCAGAAAACACATATATAATTACATATTGTTTTTGTGATTAATCACTATGCTTTAATTATGTTCAATCTGTAACAATGAAAATACATCCTGCATATCAGATATTTACATTACGATTTATAACAGTAGCAAAATTACAGTTATGAAGTAGCAATGAAAATAATTTTATGGTTGGGGGTCACCACAACATGAGGAACTGTATTAAAGGGTCGTGGCATTAGGAAGGTTGAGAACCACTGATCTAAGAAGAATCAGGTTCAACTAGTACTCTAAACTGTACAGGTATTACCATATAAAAAAAAAAGGAACACAATTTAAAGTAAAAAAATCTGAGAGGAACAAATTTGAGAGAGGGAGAGAGAGAAAGAGAGAAAAAGAGAGAGAGAGAGAGAGGAACACAATTTAAAGTAAAAAAAATCTGAGAGGAATAAATTTGAGAGAGAGAGAGAGAGAGAGAAAGAGAAAAAGAGAGAGAGAGAGAGAGAGAGAGAGAGAGAGAGAGAATGATATTTAGTTCCTAACTACATTCATTAGTTATGTGGTATTGATTAGGGAAGTTAACTGATCTCTCTGAGTCACATTTTTCTGAGAAATTAAAAAATGGGAAAGTAATACTTAGGATTTTCTTAATTATCAAAGGAGAAAATGGAAATGAAAATGCGGAGCAAACAATAAGCTTGGTCTCATTACTTGTTGTACCTTTGAATCTCTCCTTGACCTGTGAAGAGTACAAATTGGTATTAGCAAACAGAGTTAGATAAACAAAAGGAGTGATGACATTAAATCTTCTGGCTAGTGTTACTTAAGTAATAATTTAAAGTAGATATCTTTGAATCACATTTTACACTGCTTTATCGTGTGGAAATTTCCCCCAAATCTTGACATTATTCTGAACATTTTTCAGGTGTTATATCTGAAGCCTCATCCCAGCACCTCTCCAATAGTCCTGACTTGACAGACTGAAGGAAATTGAGCTCTTCTCTTTCCTTTCAAGTTACTCTAATTCGACAGTTGTTTCTGCTCTCCTCATGCTTGAGTGAGCATGAAATGATGCCTTTGCTGAGTATTTCTGTTTGATTTTCCAAAAGCTGTTGTCAGTCTCACAGCTCAAAATGGAATGCAGATGGTAATTGGCATAGTCACAGTCTTTCAAGCCTAATTGGAACTGACCCACACACCTCAGAGCCCGTCCTAGCCTCTCCGGTTTATAAGTGCATGTGGAGAGAAGAAGCAGGAAAGCTTACCGAGAGAGGAAAAGTCTCTTTGCATGTTGCTGAGCCAGGCGGCTTTGACTGTATGTCTCTCTGAGTCTGGACAATGTCTTGTGTGTTTGTTTCCACAGAGCATATATCATTACAGACTATATGGGCATCCGAAATGAGAGTTTCATGAAGGTAGCTGCTGTGGGGACCTGGATGGGGGACTTTGTCACAGCTTGGATGGTAAGAAATTTTAACTTCACCCATTTCATAGCTGATAGAAGACATGTTCACATGTGGGATAGACATCACTTTTGATGGTTTAGAGAACATAGTTACCTCTGTTTTGAGTGGAACACATTCATGGGTATAGGTAAGTCCAGATAATATGTAATATCTGTTTACCTTAGGGAAAAAATACAATTGTAGTATTGATGGCTATTTCCTGGGCTACATGTATATACAAACATATACACATTCATGAAATTAATAGAAAGTTATTACCTGTGAAATTATATTTGTTGTTGTTTTTACCATGTGCAAATTTTAGGTAAGGAATGTTGTCTGGCCTGTCTCAAAAAACCACATTAAATATTCTTTATGGACTTTTAAAATAGTTTTTCATATTTGTTTTGCTCATCGAACCTGACTTAATAGTAGTAACTAAGAGTTCTGAGAGTTGTATATTTTAATCTTTCATGTATTATTAGTCTTTATTATTATATGCCTGCAACAAATACACAAATTATATCTCATGCTGAGCTCATCTGTTAGGAAAGTAGCTTCTGTTTTTAACCATTGGCTTAATTAAACACAGTATGTACTAAAAGGCTCTATGACCTATATGTTTATAAGAGAATCTTGAAGTGCAAAGAGCATAACTCTCATAAATATGGGACACTTTAACATTCATTGACACCTTTTATAAGTATAGTTAATCCTAATTAGCTTTATTCATCTATCCCTTGACAATGAGCCTTACCAAAGGAATGATGATACCCAACATAAACAAGAATTGGGATGGATGTGCCCCTACAGATGTGTTCCAGGGACCACAGGTAGATTGTCATAACCGTTATTGCGTTTCCATTGATAGCTTTGTTTCTTACCTAGAGAAAGGTTTTCAGGGAACAAGAAACAGTGTTATCTTAACTGCTGCTATTGTGATCATCCTGCAAGAGTATTAAGTAACCATGAAAGGGTTTGTATAGCCTGTTTTTGAGCCTCCTCCCACCTCTGTTCAATTATAGAATGTTAACAGAACAAATTACCAGATGCATCCCATTCCATTAACTTTAAAATCTAAATTTGAGAAGTGATTTATTTTATTTGCACTCACTAGAAATCGTAATTAGAATAAACCAGCCATTGAGACCAGGCTGATGCATGTAAAAAATTTCTATTTCCATTGGAAAAAATTATTTAGAAGGAACTATGTGAACTTTAAATATACACTTTCTGTGGAATTTGAGGTGCTGCCTTTTGAAAAATCTCTGCATTAATTGTGGATTTTGACTCCATTCTGTAGTGAATCTGTTCACTAAAATGGAGAATTGGATCGGAAATGCAGATCCTCAGACCTTGCTACCAGTGGTTTGTCCTTCCACAAGCAATACACAATTCTCTGAGCCTTGGTGCACACGTTTCTTAAAAGGGATGAATAATTTCTACCTGTGTTACAGGTTCCCTGTAAAGATTAAATATGTGGCCCTGTGATAAGATTTAAAATGCTGAAGTGGGCCCTGGCTTGTGTTGCTCAATGGCTAGAGCGTCGGCCAGTGCACTGAAGGGTCATGGGTTTGATTCGCAGTCAAGGGCATGTACCTAGGTTGCAGGTTCAATCCCTGGTCCTGGGAGCACATGCAAGAGGCAATCAATCAATGTGTCTCTCTCACATTGATGTTTCTCTCTTTTTCTCCCTCCCTCACTTCCACTCTAAAAATCAATGAAAAAAATATCCTTGGGTGATGATTAACAAACAAACAAACACAACAAACATGCGGAAGTGGAATGCAGGCCTAGTGCTCTATTATTGTTATTCATGTTGTGGGCTCTCATCCCCTTGCTGGGCCCAGTCCTTGAAGTGATGGCAAGGGTGGCTCATTGACCCAAGATTCTTCCATGGAACCCCAGGAGCATGAGGTTCCAGAGCATCTGGAGTTTCCTTCCAATGGCCAATGCTTGGATAGACTAAGACAGTATGGTGTGTTGCTTCCTCATAAAACCAGGGGAGAAGCAACAGACCAATAAGACCTAGAAGCTTGCTTTGCAATTTTTAGGCAAAAGTCAGCCATAAATCATTTCCTTTCCCGTTGTTGTTTGTGACCCAGTTTCATCCAACTCCTCCCCAGACTTTCCTTCAAGATAGTGTCTCCTACATCATATGTGACTCTGCCTCTATTTACTGGTTAGTTTTTATCTGGATTTATTTCTTTTGAGCCATAAGGTGGGGTCCAATTCCTAGGGCAGGTTGGGGAATCAAATGCAAAGTGCAGCTTTATCCAAAGACCCTGACTCTTCTGGGTTGTATTTCTACTGTGCACTTACCTGCCTTACTCTTGTGGTTTAGGGAACTAGAAATATTTTCAGACTTCAGCCTATGGCCTTTCTTTTTCTCCTCGGTCTTGTTAACCTTCATAGTTTCTCCTAAATTTACTACTGTAATGTCTTCTGCTTCTACTAGCCAACCTGATAATGTTTTACCTCTCCCTATACCATAGATTACTACTCTGATTATACTTCCCATATCACAGAAGTCGGATTGGATTGAGAGTCAAGAAAACTAGGTTTTAGGTTTAACTAAGTAATGTGATCTTAAGTCACCTTACTTCCCGGGGCCTCTCATCTTTTCCTTTCTATAATCTGGGTAGAATCCAAAGTCCCTTTCTGCTCATGTTATATGAAATATCCACCTTTCCTCATTAGCCACAGTGGTAGGGATGGCAAAAGAAACACAATGCATTCCTGATTTGCAAGTCCAGTCACACAAGGAGGATTCCCAGAGCACATCATTCTATTCCCATTTCTGTTCACTGGCTAGGCAGGAGGTTTCTGTATAAATATTTATATGTCTACATATGTGTGCATTGATAACATTTAAAAAAATAATAGTTTTCCTCCCAAGTGGAGTTTAGGGTAGCTTTGACCTTCATTTGTCTGCAGAATTCTCATCATGAAATGAATATCAATGATGGAGGTGACTGTCATGGCAAAACAAGTGACTGTTTTCATTTCTAATAAGAGTGTACCTTTGAATGCATTTCTAAAGTAAGGATTTTTATTTTATGGACAAAATCCATATCTTTCCCATGGTTTTAAAAGGTACACCGGGCTATATGATTGGTCCACAGGCAGGGAATTATTAATCAATCTTATGAATATCTTTGGCCCTCACCCAATTGAGCATCAGGCTCTACTGGATTCCATTCACTGGGCAGTCCTGATACCTGGTATAATTCATCCTTGAGCTGGTCCATGGTAGGAGCAGAGATAAACTGTCATAAAGATAAGCATGAATCAAAAACACTGGGTGTCTCATATGCCACCATTGCCTCATAGCCACAAATTTGCCCAGGCTCTGTGCCACTGAGCAAGGAGCGGAGCGGGGCTGGCCAGTCCCACAGCACGTTGTTCCAGGTTTACCAACCCTCCTTCAGAAGACAGAGGTCACAGCTTCTGCTTCGGTCTAAGGTGCCAGGGGGTTCTGAGGACATCGAGATGGCACTTGCTTCTGCTCCTCGTTTATTAGCACTTCCTATCTATCCATCCTACCCATACCCTTTTCCCAGCCCCTTATTCCCCTGTTCTAGTGTCTTTTCTCTTGTGGCAGTTAATGGTGTATGGCTCATGATAGTGACAGGGACGTCATACTCCAGGTCTGAAGTTAACTCCAGGTTGGGAGAAGGGGTGTGCAGGGAAAGGTACAAATAAGGTGAAGTTGAGCCATGACCTAAAGAAGGCACACTCCAGGTCTGAAGTTAACTCCAGGTTGGGAGGGGTGTGCAGGGAAAGGTTCAAATAAGGTGAAGTTGAGCCATGACCTAAAGAAGGCAATTCCCATGGTAAACACTAAAGTAGTTAATGAGCATCTTTCATCATAAAACTAGGTGTGTATGAACTTGTCTGGCCTTGACCTATTTTCCCCAGGATGGTCTGTGGACATTTGTATACATATTACCACTACTAGCAAAGCTTCCACTATGAAGCTAATCATACATACACACACACACACACACACACACACACACACACACACACACAACAATTGCGTTGTTTGCCAATTGACTCTACCTTTATTTCATGTTTGTATAGTCACCATTTGTTTTTAAATTGTATGCAGTTTTAATAGACTTTGTTTTTCTTCTTGAAACTCAGAGTTCCACTAGAACCGGAGAAACTGAGTCAATACCTTCATGTGGAAATGCCTTTAGGTGGATAAAACATAGCCTTTGTAGCTGGGTTATAACAAGAAATAAAACTTTTAAATTTGCTTAATTATTTCTCTCTGTTGAAGCCTTTTCAAGAATATGAGTTTAGAAAAAAATTTTTTTAATATTTTTTAATGATTTCAGAGAGGAAGGAAGAGGGGGAGAGAGAGAGAGATAAACATCAGTGATGAAAGAAAGTTATTGATTGGCTGCCTCCTGCAAAACTTCCCACTGGGGATTGAGCCCACAACCTGGGGATGTGCCCTGACCTCCTGGTTTGTAAGTCGACACTTAACCACACCAGCTGGGCTAGAAAAAAAGTCTTAAAAAATATATTTTCCCCTTCTATTTTAACTGTGCCTGCCTTATACATAAATATTAAATTATTTCTCTAAATATTTGAATGGCAAGTTTTGCCTTTTTATTTTTCACATGCTTTTATTTTTTCAGATTTTATAATTCCTATTTATGTTGCTATTTTATTTTTTCAAAAGACTGTTTATTTAAGAAGCAAAACTGAAAACTCCTCCTTACTTGACCATAAACTCTTTGAGGGGAATTACAGTGTCAGTAGTGTTCACAATTATATTCCTAGCACCCAACACAGTACCAGGCATACGACAGGTGCTCAAGAAATTGTTTTTGAAAGAATCAATAGAGCACATAAGCATTAAGTTCCATTTCTCTTTCCCTCATTACACGTTGTGACTTAGTATTATAACATGAACATTGTACAATGCTAAAGGGGACAGGACGAGAGCTGTATTGTTCAGGATACATAGATATCAATCCTCCCCGCTTCGCCCCCCACCAAAG